TATATATATATATATATATATATATGAATATATATAAATATGTAGATAGATATTTATAGATAGATATATCCATACACCCCTGTATCCCTATAACGAAACACACACACAAGAAGACGCACTTAAATGACCAACATTACTTACCTCCTTTTCTTCGCATTTAAGAGCAACGTTGATTAACGAAAATCGCTCCGCTGTTCCTCCTTATCAACGCAGACGTGCAAACTTTCCTCATACTCCTGCTTAGAGCTTGTTCTTCCTTAGAGCCCATCGTTAAAGCACACTTGACGGCTCTTAATATCCTGTGTTTGAGGGCGCGTTCAGATCGGGTTTCCTTTGATGCTAAAAAGGAATTTATTTATTTATTTATTATTATTATTATTTTTTTTTTTGGGGGGGGTTTGGTTGTTTTTTTTTTCTTTGTATTTTGGTTGTTTATTTGTGTTTTGATTTTGTTTTTTTATGTTTACGGATTGAAATGTATGTACGTTTGTGGGGAAGTCCGAAAAAATACTGGTAGAAAAAAATAAGATTAAAAATAAAAATGATAAAAAATAAATAAATAAATAAATATCAAGTCCGAAGTCCGAAAAAATAATGGCAGTAAAAATAATGATAATAATATAATAATAATAATAATAATAATAATAATAATAACAATGATACATTTTACGATTTGTGAAATGATTAGATTTTCCGAAAGAAATACATAACGTTTTATATATTTCACTTCAGGAAACGTTGCTTCACTAAGGATTATTGTTGTTGTTTATTATAATTATCATTGTTATTATTTTCATTTTTAATTATTATTATTGTTGTTATTATTGTTATTATCATTATCTCTGTTATTATTATTATTACCATTATCTTTTTTATTATTATTATCATTATTGTTAGTATTAATGTTATTGCTTTTGTTGATGTTGCTCTTATCATTATCATTATCATTATTATCATCATTATCATTATTATTATCATCATTATCCTTCTATTATTTTGTATTTTCTTTACGATTTACACTTTACTACGTTAGTACTTATAACTTTTAAGTCATTTTGCATTGCTGTTTAAGTATCAGCTGATTTGTGTCTGTGTGTTTAATTAGGGTTTATGAATTGGAATATTTGTGTAAAGCTAAATATTTTTTTGTAATTTTTTTCTTTATATTTATGAAATTGTCTGTTTGTTTATGCTTCTGTATTAGTTTATTTATTTCATATTTATGTATTTGTCTATTTATGTATTCGCATTTATGTATTTGTTCATTTATTCCCTGTATTTCACTGAATTTTTTCATCTATGTATTTCCTTGTATTTGTTTTTTTATGAATATTAGTGTATGTCTATGCTTATCTATGTTGATCCATTTCTATCCATTTTTTATCCATATGCATCCACATTGACTGATCCACCAATCTGACTTTTTGTCTACATTGTCATTGTTTATTTCTGTGTATTTGTTCACCTATTTATTCCTGTCTTTATCGCTAGGTATCCATTTCTATTTCTATTTTTTGTTTTTCTATACGTATCTAATTCTATGTCTTTATCTATCTATATGTATCCACCACTATTCATATACTTGTCTATTGATACGTATTTGTTATATTTTTGTTTATCTATACGTATTATTTCTATCTTTGTTTCTCCATCATATCTATTTTTATACATTCTTATGTATTTCCTTATCTATACGTTTAAATTTCTATCTACCCCTTTCTTTATCTATATGCATCCACATTTACTTACCCACTAACCTCTTTGCACCTATGTATGTATTTCCTCATTTATCAATACATTTCCACTTCTATCGTCATCCTTCTCTATCCATATAATCCACATTTACGTATCCAACAAAGCCCCTTGCTTTCTTGTTTATATAAGGATTTCTATGCGTTGCTATGTATTTCTTTAATTGTCTGTACTTTTTTTATTTCTTTAATTGTCTGTACTTTTTCTATTTCTTTAATTGTCTGTACTTTTTCTATTTCTATTTATGTCGTCCTTTGTTCATAAACATCTATATTTACGTATCCTCAGACCCTCTTGTCATATACATTCGCCTTTATGTATAAAAAACGACCCGTTTTTTCTTTGTATTTGTTGGTTTATTTTGGTTTCTGTCTTTATTCATCTCTACGTATCCATTTCTATTTATGTATTCATAGCTATTTGCCTCTTTGTTCTATTTGGATTTCTATGTATTCTTGTGTATTTCTTCATCTATCTATTCGTTTTCCTTTCTATCCTTCTTCTTCTTTGTTCATAAACTTCCATATTTACGTATCCAGTAACCCTTTTGCATATTTGTTTATGCATTTCCTTATCTATCAGTACATTTCCACTCCTATCTACATCCTTCTTTATCCACATTTCTCTCTCCCTCACAGTCGACCCAGTCTACATATCCTACAATTGCATATCCTCAATCCCTCTTATTATATACACCCACTTTTCCGTATCCAATATTTCTATGCATTCCTATATATTTCATTATCTATCTATACGTTTTCCTTTCTATTTACGTTCTTCTTTATCCATATACACCCGTATTTACCTATCCTCAAACTGTCTTCCTAATAACGCTCACAGTTCCGTCTCCACTAACCCCCTTGGCTCTTTGTTTATGCATGTATTTCTATGTATTCCTATGTATTTCATTATCTATCTATACGTTTTCCTTTCTATTTACGTTCTTCTTTATCCATATACACCCGTATTTACCTATCCTCAAACTGTCTTCCTAATAACGCTCACATTTCCGTCTCCACTAACCCCCTTGGCTCTTTGTTTATGCATGTATTTCTATGTATTCCTATGTATTTCTTTATCTATCTATACGTTTTCCTTTCTATTCATGTTCTTCTTTATCCACATAAATCCGTATTTGCATATCCTCAAACCCTCCTGGCAAATACACCCACACTTACATATACACTAACCCCCCTTTGCCTCTCTCTCTCTCACTCGCAGTCGACCCATACGAGCTTCTCGGCCCACGCTCCTCCCGCCTCTACATTTCTGTCTACAAGGCCCCTTTTTGTTTCTATTTGGATTTCTATGCATTCCTGTGTATTGCTTTATCTGTCTATACGTTTTCCTTTCTATTTAGGTCCTTCTTTGTCTATAAACGTTTATATTTACCTATCCTCATACCCTCTAGCCAAACATTTTCCTTTCTATTTATGTTCTTCTTTGTCTATTAACGTTCATATTTACCTATCCTCAATCCCTCTAGCCAAATACACCCACTTTTCCGTATCCACTAATCCCCCTTTGCCTCTCTCTCTCTCTCACTCGCAGTCGACCCATACGAGCTCCTCGGCCCACGCTTCTCTCGCCTCTATATATCTGTCTACAAGGCCCCTTTTTGTTTCTATTTGGATTTCTATGCATTCCTGTGTATTTCTTGATCTATCTATACGTTTTCCTTTCTATTTAGGTCCTTCTTTATCTATAAACGTTTTCTATAATCTATAAATTATCTATAAATTATCTATAAATTATCTATAAATTATCTATAAATTATCTATAAATCCCTCTAGCCAAATACACCCACTTTTCCGTCTCCACTAATCCCCCTTTGCCTCTCTCTCTCTCTCCCTCGCAGTCGACCCGTACGAGCTCCTCGGCCCACGCTCCTCCCGCCTCGCCGCTCAGGGCTCGGGCCAGATCCAGCTGTGGCAGTTCCTCCTGGAGCTGCTGTCCGACCCCGCCAACGCCGCCGTCATCACCTGGGAGGGCACCGCCGGCGAGTTCAAGATCCTGGACCCTGACGAGGTGGCGCGGCGCTGGGGCGAGAGGAAGTCCAAGCCCAACATGAACTACGACAAGCTCTCTCGCGCCCTCAGGTATATATGTGGGTGATACGGTTGGGTGGCTATTTAGTTATCTATTGTCATATCTACTTATCATATTTGCCCTCCACATAGTTGTTTTGTTTTTTGTTTATCATTCAAATCATTTTTGTTTTCCAGAAGGAATGTTATCATTACCTTGAATTAATATTTCATTCATTTTATTTGTCATTCAGAATGCTTGATAGTAAATATTATCATTTTACTTACATTAGTTCTCTACAAGGATTCCTGTAAACTATGTTTATTATGATTTTTTGAATAATCAATGAATCGTCAGCTTTCATTAATATTTTTTTTATTCGTGTTTATTTACCAATAGGATTATTCAGCATATTGTTATCCTTCTATTTATTGTTTTTATTTTCATTTATCTGCTTTCATTTATCAAATACAATTCATTATGTTTTTTCCATTAAATGTGTCAATCAAAAATAGTTAATTTGAATATGATTTAAATTGAAGGGAAAATATTTTTCATAAGGTCCTTTTGATTTTTTGAAATCTTTTCATTGATATCATATAATTGTCAATCATTTATAATTGCATTTATGATAGTGGTAAAACATAGTATGGCGTTGATAATGCACACACAAGTCATGGGTGGTAAGTGGTTATTTCGTTATTGGATGTGGTAATGAAATGAAATTCTTCCTTCTAGCAACGCTAATGTAGTGATAATACATGTTTTTTTTTATGTATTTGGATTAATGGATATACTTTGCTTAGTCTGAATCATATCTAGATAGTCATCTGTATATCAGTATATCAATATACCAGTGTATATATTTGTATACACATACACACACATAAACACCCATGCAAACCACACGACCGCACAGCGCCCTACTGAGCCGCCCGCCCGCAGGTACTACTACGACAAGAACATCATGACGAAGGTGCACGGCAAGCGCTACGCCTACAAGTTCGACTTCCGCGGCCTGGACCAGGTGCGGCAGCAGCAGAGCGCCGAGGCGCAGCGCTACCCGCCCGACCTCAGCTTCCTCACGGGCTACTCGCACCTGCTGGGGGGGACGTCGCCCCTGGCCGGCGGCCCCCTGGCGTCGCCCTCCGCCCGCCGCCGCCGCCGCTGCTCTCCCCGCCCCCGTACTGGGCGGCGGTGTCTTCGGCGGCGGCGCTGGCCACCACCTCGCCGCTGGCCACCTCGTCCCCGCTGGCCACCTCCTCGCCGCTGGCCAGCTCGCCGCCCCTCGGCCTGCACGCGGCGCCGCTGCCCTCGCCGCTCGGGTCGCCGCCCCGCGACGCCCCGGTCACCACCACGACCGCCCGCACCCTGCCCCACTACCCGTACTCCTCGTGAGCTCCGCGCGGGAGTGGGAGGCCCAGGGCGCCTCCCCGGGGCTTCGGACGGGCGGGGGCGAGGCGGCGACGGCCTCGTTCACGTGCACCTCCGCGCCCGCCAGAGCACGGGGGCTCCGACGCGGCTCACTCGCGCTCGTGTCTCGTAATACATTCCTGCTTTCCAGTGGACGTGAACGAGGCAGCGGCACGCCCACGCCAGGCAGTCTCCAGCAGCCCGCTTCTGCCGCACGACTTAGTCCAGAACCGTATATCTAACCCCTTTATTCCTTAGGATGTTTCTAGTTTAGGTCTTCAGAGTGGGGAAAGGAATCGACGTCTAGAAAGTTGTCTGGTATTAGGCCATACGGGTTCCTGCTTCCCTTGTTCCTCGATTTTAGAGTAAAATGGAGATGGTTTTGAGATTTGAACGAGAGTAAAAGTGTGGCGTAGGAGAACCACCTGCCGAAAAAAAAAGAAAAACAAGGTCCTTCTCTGATATATTATTAAAAAGCGGATTACATTATTTTTCTAAATAGGAGAATTTGAGGATGGAAAAGTAAAAGAAAACTATGAAAATGAAGAAAAATGCTGTTTTTTTAATATGTGAATTGGAGAAAAGAAAAGGAAATGGGAAAGGAAAGAAAGATAAAAGAAGAAAAAAAAAATATATTAAACTTTCTCGGGTCACAAGTCTGTGTATAAACAATATAAATAGTTAATCAAAACGTTTTTTTTTTCGCTATCTGTAGTTCCCGCTATATGCAGTAGCTGCTGAAGGTAATACTACACTTCAAATATAAATAAAACCAAGAAAAAAATGATAAAATGATATCAAAAGAGACTAGGTATGACCTAGTCTTTAATCTTCATTTCTAAACTTGTATTCAGTGTGCCAAAATCTTCCCCTAAGTCTGCAGAAAATCAGAATATATATATATGCCATAATTCGACAGTTCTATTCTACTTGATTCTGTATAAGACGATATTTTTCATATTCGAATAAAAAATCTATAACCATTCCAAAAATTAATTATATGTTGATTTTTTTTTCTTTTTTTTTTTGTATGTAATAAGGTCTATATTTTAGAAATATTCTGAGTCTCTTGTTTACATTGGTTTCCATGGCAACGTTTAGAGAGGAGGAGAGGGAGGAGGAAAAAACATTCATGCAAATATCTATTCATTTATTTCCACCCTTTTTTGTGATTTGTTTTGTTTCTATTTTATCATTGCTTTTATTGCCATTATCATTGCTATTGTTTTATCATCTTTATTATTATTGGCATTATTACTACTATCATTATTATTATCACTATCATTATTGTTATCATTATTATTATTGTCTTTATTATTATTATCCTTATTATCATGATCATATTCATCGGTTTTGTTTTCATTATAATTATCATTTTCATTATTATCATTACTATTGTAATTGTTATCATTACTATTATTATTTATATTATTATTATTATTATTATTATTCATTATTTATCAATATCATCATTATCATTATTATCACATTGCTATATCATTATTATCATTATTATTATATTATTATATTATTATTTTATTATTATTATATTATTATTATATATTATTATTATTATTATTATTATATTATTATTATTATATTATTATCATTATTTTTATCATCATTATAAACACACACACACACACACACACACAGACACACACACAGACACACACACACACACACACACACACACACACACACACACAACACACACACACACACACACACAAATATATATATATATATATATATAATATATATATATATATATATATATAATATATATAATATATATGCATATGTATATATATATATATATATATATATATATATATATATATATATATATATATATATGTATATATATATATATATATTATATATATATATATATATATATTATATATACATATGCATATATATATATATATATATATATATATATATATATATATATATATATATATATATATATATATATATATGTATATATATATATATATATATATATATATATATATGCATATGTATATATATATATATATATATATATATATATATATATATATATATATGCATATGTATATATATATATATATAGATATATATATATATATACATATGCATATATATATATATATATATATATATAATATATATATATATTATATACATATATATACACACACATTTATATATATAATATACGAATATATGTATATATATATATATATATATATATATATAATATATATATATATATACATATTATATATATATATATATATATATATATATATATATATGTATACATATATGTATACATGCATACATACATACATACATATATATATATATATATATATATATATATATATATATATATATATATGTATGTATGTATGTATGTATGTATGTATTATATGTATATACATACATACCACACACACACACACACACACACACATACACACACACACACACACACACACACACACACACACACACACACACACACACACACACACACACACACACACACAACACACATACATATATATATATATATATATATATATATATATATATATATATATATATATATATATATATATATATATATATATACATATACATGTGTTTATGTGTATGTGTATATGTGTGTGTGTGTGTGTGTGTGTGTGTGTGTGTGTGTGTGTGTGCACATACACAGACACGTAACCGTTCCCTTTATTTTTCATCACACCTTTTTCTTATTTTTTGTTAAAAAGATTGAAAATCCTCTATATAATTAATTCACCAAAATAATATCATAATCGTCAATGCTTTCAGTAACAAACTCTTGTTATCATCGGATGGATAACAGAAGACTCTTTCCCTTCATGTGTTATCTCTCATAACACAAAGACAGGGAAGAAATGTGTCGGAAAACGAACACTGGAAAAAGAAACGCACTTGACACACCTCATGTCAACAAAATAAGAAAATAGGAATAAATAAAACAAAGGTAAATTATCCTTTTGTTTATGAATCTACTTTCATTACTTTAATTATTTTATAGTGTTTTTTTCATTACCATTTTCATCAGTATCAGCATCATTGCCATTATTATTACTATTTTATCGTTATTATTATTTTCTTTGCTATCATTAGTACTATTAGGCCTATCATTATTATCATTATTATTTTTATTGTTATTATATTTATTATTTTTATTATCACCATTATTTTTTTTATTGTTATTGTTTTTATTAGTATCATTATTAGCATCATTATCAGTAGCATTATTATTCTGATTATCTTATTATTCCTATCATTATTATCATTATCATCATTGTTATCATTATAATTATTATCATCATCTCCATCATTTCTATCAACACCATCGTTATCATTAGTTGTATCGTTATCATCATTATCATCATTATCATTTCCTTACTCCTATCAGCCACAATCATTAACCACAATAACAATCCTCATCTTTATCATCATTATTCCCATTACTATAACAATTTCATAAAAAAAAAATAAATAAATAAATAAAAAAAAATACTCCCCTGACATGAATACTCCATTTTCTCACTCCCTTTCGCCTCCCTAAACTCCCGAGCCAGATTTAGAATATTACATATCATTGCGTCATGTCATTCCCAAGGGTCGCCTGTTGTTAGTGTCAAAGTTCCTGATATAAGGAAGAAAAATAATGTAGTCGGGGCGTTTTTGTGTTAGTGTAATTATCTTTATTATTGTTATTTTTTTATTATTTGTACTTATCATTATTATTATAATTAATTATTATCTGTAATTGTTATTGTCATTGTCATTATTACGGTTATTATTATTGTTATTATGTTTTATGTTATTGTTTATGATTATTATTATTATTACTTTTATTATCATTATCATTATCATTGTTATAATTGTTATTGATATTGTCACTATTATTGTCTTTATTTGTTATCATCATTATTATTATTATATTTATTATTATTATTATCATTATTACCAATTACTGTTGCTTTTAATAGTATCATTATCATTGTTGTTTTATTATTGTTGTTATCATTACTATAGTTATCATAATTGTTATTATCATTATGATCCTTTTCGTTATTATTGTTATTATCATTACTGTTATCATTATTGTTATGATTATTATTATCATTATTTACATTGCGATTATTATTGCTATCATTATTTTTTTATTATCTTTATTATTATTATTATTATTATTATTGTTATTATTATTATTATTATTATTATTATTGTTATTATCATTACTATTATTATCATTATTATTACTATTATTATTATTACTCTTGTTACTCTTACTATTATTATTACAATTGTCATTATTATTATTACCATTATTATTTGTATTATCATTATTATTATTGTCATCACTTAATATTATTGTTATTTTTATTACTATCAACATAATCAGTTTTTTTCTAGGATTGACATTAATATTATTACTCATTTAATGTCTTTGATTTTGAACTTTCATCCAAATTCCGAATGCTGAACATATTTACTCCGAATATAAATAAAATAAAAAAAGACACATTATCCCATAACAATTAAACTGCACATTCTAATGTCTCGTTCTCTTTCTTATGTATCTAATTATTATATCAACAAAGTGCTAATATCTCTTATGTGAACGAAACATTGTGTATTTTTTTCCGTTCACTAATAAAATAAATGCTATTGATTTCAGTAAGCATCTCCCCCTTTCCTTCTCAATGCTACGAAATGTCAGGTGACTAATATGCTATTTACTGATATATTTCTATTAGTCAATCCCGTGCTCAGTGGCCATAGATAAACTAGTAAGGACTGCAATATTAGATAGATAATGTTCTGTCATTATTTAATAGATATGTGATTAGTTGATATTCAGTGACCGAGAAGTCTTTAGCAGTCATATTAGATTAGATTTTAAGTCCCCCATTGATTCAATGTAGATTATATTTCTTTCTTGCAATAAGGAATAAATTCGATTAATATTCCCGTATCAAACTCTTTTTTTTTTCTCTATGGAATCATATATACTCAGTCTGTCTTCCTTAGGACATACTCCGTTTCTAAAAATCTTTGAAGGTGAAAGTATGACATGCCATTTTCAGACTTATCCTCATTTCTCCGTATGTGTATGTGTACATAATTGTATAGAGGCTAAATAATACACATTTCCCCCCCTTGTTATTTGTGGTGCTTGTGTCTTCTCTATTTGGTATCGTTATCTGGGTAGATAAGCTTAATTATCCTTATGTACAAATTGATTCATATGCAATACAAAAGGAAAACAACAAATAATGTTTTCATTTTTTGCAATAACCCTCCGTACATGCAATGGTACAAACAATGATTAGAAATAATGGTTCAGTATTTCTTAATTCGTTCCTTAGTCAACTTTGTTTATAGAAGTGAATTGTTCCTAAAGTTTCCTAGTGATTTTTTTCTTATGTGTATAAGTAGTGTCTTAGATTAACATTATAGAATTGCCGTAGTAACATATACCCGATGTAGTCTGAAGTAAATCGGTTATAGAAGCATGATGTAGTCTTTGATTGCGTCTGTCTTGGGTATCTCTGTCTCCTCTTTATCTTCCCTTTCTCGCTCTGCCTCTCTTTTCTGTAGTTAGAATTTATTCCTGTTCGTTTTGTTTATGTCTTTTTTTACTTTAATTATATTTTCCCTCTCTCTCTCTCTCTCTCTCTCTCTCTCTCTCTCTCTCTCTCTCTCTCTCTCTTCTCTCTCTCTCTCATCTCTCTCCTCTCTCTCTCTCTCTCTCCCTCTCCTCACTATCTCTACCTCCCTCTCCCTCCCACCCTCTTTCTCTCCCTCTCCCTCCTACCCATACTCCCAGCTTTTCTCTCCACCCCCTTTCTCTCTTTATCCATTTTCCCTCTTCCCTCGCCAATCACAGAGCGACGAGCCTACTCATGCAATCAGCTCCA